TGTTAGCATAAATCAGTTAAATGACGAAAAATTAGGTGTATATTTACTTGTGACCACTCAGTGTACATAGCAATCCTTATATAGTTGCTGCTCAGAACGAATTTGTAAGTATTCTCTGGTGTATGTATGAAGAGTCAAGAGAGGGATAAGCTAGACTGTTCAGAAAGAAACTTACAATGATCTAGTTGACCTTCAGCAAACTGTAGCTGGAAATAAATGAAATATACCAGCAATTAGAATGATCATAGAACTAAAAGAAACTTGTAGTTCTTACTTTCCAAGCTACCTGGGAAGGTAATATGGTATTTCATTGTGGAATCATACCTGAGAATAAATAAGTTTCTGCAACTAGGTGAGAATGAGCTACAGAAAGAAAGAAACATGAATGTGATTTCAAATCAGGTGTAACTGATACGTTTCTTTTATGTAAAACAAATTTCTGTCAGTGAAAAAAGACTCGTGAACAGTTGGGTTAGTAACATAGAATTCAATGTCTTTAAAATCGCTATGTTTGATATTGCATTGGAAGTGTTTGGGTATTTAACTCCTGGATAACAGCACAGTAGCATAGCCAGTCCAGTTATACCAAGTGGTCAGCCATGGCAGTAAGTTTGCTCACTTCTAACAATTTCCGTGCTTAGGTATGTGTTATTACTATACGTAAAAGTACACATTCGCATGCATAAACCATCAGTCAAAGTTCTAATGTTACACACACATAACAGTATAATTATGATAATATAGAGGGATATGATAGTATTGCACTGGTTTATATGCAACGAAAACAACTGAATACATATCTATTTGATATTCATTGACATGATATGTTTCGTTAATTTTGATAAATTTGATACGCCTGTCTTTTGGAATGATGTAAATGAAGACAATGAATCATTGCAAAATAGCGTAACGATGGTGACTTCATTAGTAGCAGATGCTTGTAAGAGAACGTAATGATGGTGACTTCATTGGTAGCAGATGCTGGCAACATAACTTAACGATGGTGACTTCAATGGTAGCAGATACTTGTAAGAGAACGTAATGATGGTGACTTTATTGGTAGCAGATGCTGGCAATATAACGTAACGATGGTGACTTCATTGGTAGCAGATGCTGGCAAGATAACGTAACGGAGGTGACTTCATTGGTAGCAGATGCTAGCAATATAATGTAATGACGGTTGACTTCATCGATAACAGATGTTGATAAGATAACTTCATAAGAATGGCTTCATCGAGAGCAGATACTAATAAGATAGCATAGTGACTTTTGATTGCATTGGTAGCAGCTATTAGTAAAATAGCATGACTATTGTTGACTTCATCGATAGCAGATACTTGTACGATAATGCTGCAATGGTTGACTTTATCAGTAGTAGGTGTTGATAAGGTTAGGTAACGATGACTGACTTCATCGGTAACAGATGCTGATAAGATATGTAGCAACGGTTGACTTCATCAGTAGTAGGTGTTGGTAAGGCTAGGTAA